AAGAGTGTCCTACAAGAGTGTCCCACAAGAGTGTTCCACCAGAGTGTCCTATAAGAGTGTCCCACAAGAGGGTCCCACAAGAGTGTCTGTCCCACAAGAGTGTCCTACAAGAGTGTTCCACAAGAGTGTCCCACAAGAGTGTTCTGCAAGTGACCCACAAGAGTGTTCTACAAGAGTGTCTCACAAGAGTGTCCTACAAGAGTGTGCTACAAGAGTGTCCCAGAAGAGTGTCCCACAAGAGTGTCATTTGGACATATTAGTTTTTCGAACGTGTTTGCATTCGGGTTCGTGGGTTCCATCTTGTTTTTGATGATTTGTGCATAATGGTGCAGATGAAGTATTGAGTACATGTTTGTTGCGAGATGGAGGAAGGCCAGAGATGCAGAGCATGAGCTCGAATCCAGATAGGCTCGAAAAACACCACAGACTGCCACACAGAGGTATTTGGTGATTTTCAGAATGGCTTTGTAAGGCTTGTCGTTTCCCAGAGTTCCCTCCTCAAACCAGTTGCCAAGTCGGGGGCGACCGTGAGCACGAAAGTGGAGAAAAGTTGGCGAGCCCCTTTGGTCCGTTTGGTCCTCACATTCGCTCCTTTCGCCTGAGGGTGACGTCTAAGACTATGGCCCTGGGAGTCCAGTCGACGATAAAAAGAATGGTCTGACGAACGGGGAACTGATTTCGGGAACTTCCTGAACATTTCAGCCGGTCAAAATATCGTCGAACTGGACTTCAGTCGTGCATGACGTAACTTCTGAGAAGGTGATTGGAGACTATTTATGTAGGTTTGGAGGGTCCAATTAGCTTCTGAGAAGGTGGATCCACAGGGTATGGGCAACTCCCCTTCTGTGGATTTCTGTGGTTTTTTTTGTTTCCCCGGTGTCCTGGACAGCAAGGTCGTTTGGATCGACTGTGGAGAGGTTTTTAGGGGCCGATCGTGTTTTGGAGTGATTGGACCTACTCCAAGGGCCACAAGAACCCCTGAGAAACCTCAAAACCATTCAAAACCTATTATATTAGGGATGACTTAGAGAACATGGCCCATGAAATAATCATCTACCACGACCAGTTCAGTCCGGGGATGTGTCTAAAGATCGTGATCAGAGTGGATCGGATCACCCCATCATGTGCCAGACCTGTCTCGCTGAGTCCATCTCCCAAACACTCCATGTATCGAATGCACACGTACATTGACCCCTGGAACCACTCCGATATAGGCAAATACGCCAGTCTCATTGACTGTTTGGGGTACTTCATATGCCAATATGCCTACATGAGGGTGGTTGAAAAGGGATCTTTCTGGGGCGGCAGTCCTATGGCAGTCCCATGAGTCGTCTCTGGGTCACCAAGACCTCCTCAGGATCGATTCCTGGATTGGTGGTCTTCCGACCCTGCGAGCCTCAGCTGCATCGTGTGGTTTTCTTTCGCGAAGCGACCCTGCGAGCACATCCGTTCCGGGGCGTTTTTGCCTTGGAGATGCTCGGCTCGGCCATGTGTTCCGACGATCAAGCGGACGTGCAAGTCGACGCAGAACTGAAAGTCTGAGGAGTGTACCAGTTAGGATCCAGCATCCAGTGATGAGCAACTCGAGAGTTCTCCGGACAGTCTGTGAGAAAGCCGGAAGAGAAAAGCGGTCTACATCACATGGTAGGTGTCAACATCGGCCCAGTGAACCGGTTGGTTCTGTTCTGTTCATGGAGTGTCTCATCCCAGAGATGTGCTAACCACCCCGAGCACCTTTGCTCAAAACAGGGTGGCGACATGTTCAGACCTTGCACGAGAATCATTGCATGATGCATGTGGGGCTTTGGTGCTTTGACCCAAAAGCATCCCAGACACGACCTGTTTGGGACTGGAAAAAATGCCGTCCCAATGAGACACCCCCTAACATCAACCACACCGGTCTGGCGGCGATCGCCCCTTTCCCCAGTGTCGTGGTGGACAAGGGGCTTGGCTTCGCCCAGGGTGATGGTCCTCTCGTTGTCGCCCAGGATGCGAACGAATGCTTGGAGATGTGGAAGTACATCATGCCCTTGAAGGACCAACGATGATCGCGCCAATGATCGGCTTTTGACGTTGTCCACCAACCCTTCGAGCGGCAAGTTGATCTGCCGAACGTCCCAAAGCACAATGAAAGAAGTGGATGTTGATGCATTTTGGGACTCGTCTCAGCCAGTCACACACAGACTCTCTGAGTTGGAACGTGCTCTTTTTCGGATTCCAGCTGCCCGCGACTCCAGCTCCAACAAGTAACAAGTGCCTGCCTTCTTCATTCACAGGAGACGACCTGTGCCTGGCACCCAACGGACCACGAAGCCTCCCACCGAGCCCTGCGGATCGACCGTGTCTCAGGACCAACCCGTTGCCCTGATCTTGTCGCGACAGGCGCCCGTCGTCCGCGCGGACTCGTCACCCGGAGGGTCGGAGGGAGGGAGGTCTCCCGCATGGGTGGGGTTCTTGGAACTGACCAAACCTGGGCCAGAAGGTTCCATGCTTCATGCTTTACTTTGCTTCATGACCTTGCAGTGTGGTGGAAATCACGAGGTGGAAAGACCAACCTCTTCGGCCCACCTGGGCCTATCCCGTTCGCCGCGGCTCGTCGTCGGCTCGGCCAAATGCGTGGCCGGTGCCCGCGCGCGGGCGAGGCGCTGCCCACGTTGGACCGGCAGAAGTTCGCCGCGGCGGAAGGCGTGCACAAGGCAGGGAGGATCAGATCCTGGATGGTGGAGGCACTCAAGGGACTTCCATGTCCAAAAGACTCCAATTTTGCCATGCCCCTAAGGATCCTTGGACCCGACACCTAAGGATAAGGGGTCGAATCCTCTATAACAGGGGTGACTGAGGCCCCGAACCAAACCCTCAGTTTTTGAGGGTCCGGATCCTTAAGGCAATCAAAATATGTCGACCCATGTGAACTTGTTCTGAGATCCATTCTAAAGGTAGCTTCTTTGACCGCCGTGGGCGGTGGGCGGCACAAGCACTCACAGCGCCCATCCGTACTCATGCCCCACCTCGGTCGGCCCACCCCGGTCGGCCGTCCCAGACAGGTCGGATTCTTCAGAGAAAAGGCCACAGAACCACCACTGAACTGAGGATTGGCATGCCCTCTCCGCCAGTGAACGGGACCTATGCCCTATATGCCCGGCCTGCCCGGCATCTCTCCAGAACCTGGGGGGGACTCGCCCGTGGTCTTCGCCTGTGTCGTCCGTCGCACGTGTTGGCGCCCAGGGTGGATACATTCTGGCCGATGCGCCTCTTGGGTCGAACTATAGTCCCTTTTTCGCCGGAAGGAACAGAGGTTCGCCCACGGTTCGGTGGTGGTGTTTGGTGTGCCCCAAAAAAACATAAGTCCAGTTTGACCATATGTTGACCAGGGGAAAAGACCTAGAACCCACTCTAGAACCCAGATGACCTTTGTTTTGATAGGGAAAAAAAAACATGTTTGGGCTCCCAAACAGAGGTCACTCAGGTATGCCGCTATGCCGGTCCGAAGTCCAGGACTGAAGGTTTCAGGAGTGCACAAATCCTTAAAACAATGGTTCTTTGGTAAAGACATGTAAGACATTGTTTGGTAAAAAAAAAAAAACATGGTTTGAATCCTAGGGTACACTTTGCATCTTTGCCGTTCGATGCCTCGTTCGATGCCTCGTTTTGACTCAACGTCCTAATTCACTCATATTCACTCTCCACGACGTCAGTCAGACTATTCCTTAATTATAGTCGACTGGACTCCGGATTATGTGTGTCAATCCCAGACACGACCCTGGACCCTCCTAAGGGCCGTACCCGAATCCTTTGGAGGGGTCCGGATCTTCTCACCAATCCCCGGGTTGGTTCGGGACCAAGAGGCCGATTGCGTCGACGGGATGTTTGTTGCGCCGTCCGGAACGCTGAGAGGTGCTGTGGTGGGTCGTGTGGCCGTGTGTTGGATGTGTCATTGCTTCTGGTTGGTTGTCCATGTTGCTTGTGCCATATGAGGATGGAATCTGGCAGAAGAGTGCTAGTTCTGGAAAACGAGATGGGTCGGTCTAAATTTGAAAACGAAAGCAGCCTAGATCAGACATGTTGCATGTGGCTCATATTGTGTGGAAAAAGTCCGCATTCTCAGTGTCAGACGGTTTGTTGTTTGTAGCTGCACGATGGGTGATGGGTTGTGATGTTTAGGTCACCACAGGGTGGGCTTTCGTTCGCGAACATCCCAGACACAGCCACGTCTTCAGGTCCACGAACGGAGCGCCGCCGGAACTGATCTTGATGTCGACAGGTGGGGGGGTCGTTCGGTGGATGCAGTCCGTCCTGGCCGCCCCATTGGGTCGGGTGGTGTGTGGGAATGGACCTTTCCTGGAACCCTAAGGATCGGGACCCTACAAAACGGTTTGGTTCGGGGCCCACCCCTGGTTCACAGGATTCGACCTCTTGGAAGGTGTCAGGTCCAAGGATCCTTAGAAAAGAAGCAAATCGAGTCATCAGTATTTGTTGACCTAGCGGTGCGCAGCCGAGCGCTGCAGATGCTATCATGAGGTCATCATGATGCACCAGTTAGTCTGACCTGGGGCCTGGTTTCACATGTGCTGATGGAGTATAAAGTATAAGCAGCCCTCAGAAATGGAAGATATCGCCGATGTTCTTTTTAGGGCCTCTTTCCTCAACAAATCCGAGGGCCCTACAAAGTAGGACCCTGGACTTCCAGGGCAGCATAATTACAATGCTTCGTACCAGATATGTCAAACACCTTCAAGCAGTCATCCCCCCGTGTATTGCGCCCTAAGAATCCGGCCCTCCAAATACGTATACCCTGGGAGTCAAGTCGACTATACAAAGAATGGTCTGACTAGGTGACCCGAGTTCAGGAATTTCCTTTACTTCAGTCGGTCAAAATATAGTCGAACTGGACTTCTAGGGTATGTTGCGGTGGAGAAGGTCCGGACTCGGATTCTGGACTTCGGGCGGATCGCGGAGTCATGACCCCTTCGAATGGGATGTGCACGTCGATGAAACCGATGGATGAAACCGATCGATGAAAACGAAACCGACGGAAAAAAAGCCGCATGGCCAACCTGCTGCATGGCAAAGGTGGGGCCGCCAACCTTTCGGACCATTGGAGGAAGCAGTTCGCCAGCGAATTCTATGGAAGAAGAATGAAAGATAAACAATGACAAACCATTGTCAGAAACCATTTTCAGACGGATCTTTTGAAACCCGTGGTCTAGCGTCCTTGTTCCTAGCTTCTTGTTCCTAGTAGTACGGCCAGGAGCCCCGAACGTAGCGCTTCTTGTGTACACAAGAATGATCGTCTGTGTCAGTCATCCTGTTCCGTGAATGTCCGTTCGACGCGACGTCCGGACCCTCCGTTCAGGGGCGGGGCCGTACCCTCCTTTGAAGGAATCCGGACCCTCAAATCCCTGCGGAATCCGGAGCGTTTGGGATGGTCCAATGTGGGAACGTGTTCGTCTAACGACCACTGACCGAAACGCTATGAAACGCTGGATCTTTGGCTGGAATGTTCAAATCCAACTCCCGAGTTCAAACGATCAACCATCTCCACTCCTCGACCGATTGATGGCTCAAATACTTCAACCCCATCCCAATCATGTGTTTCATGTCTCTGGTCTCGTCCCTGCAAAACCCACCGAACCGAACCGGGGGCGACCGCAGGTGTGAAAGCACGCGCCGAACCCCGCCCGCGGAGGCAGCGAAGTACATTTGATGCTGCAAGCACATGAAGTCCTGGCGGCGAGTGGTGTGAAAGTGAGGCACGGTGGTTTCAGTGAACCCGTGGAGGACGGCGGCGGAGGCCGCATGTGACGGATGTGGGTTCCCTTCGCGGGTTTGTTGCGTTTTTTGCCCTCGCGATGCAGAAAGCAACGCGAAGGCTGGGTAAGAAGAACTGACACATTTGTGTTCTTTGTTCACTTGAGTTGACCAAGTTGCTGTTCTTTTCAATTTGTTTGCACAAACAATACAACCCTGGCTGGCTCTGCAAGGAGAGCTGCCAGCGCGTAGCCAGAAGAGGAGTTGGCCCCAAAAATGGACCAATTCCAAGAAAATCCTTGGCTGGGAGTGTCATGTAGACTCTTGGTCAAAGAGTAGGCCCGCATCCCAGGAGTCACATGGAACTGGGTGGTGTGGCTCGTCCCATGAGTGGCCGTGGATGTGATGGGGGCCACCGTAACCTCCTTCCTCCATCGCATGAAGAAGTTGTTCAATAGTTCAATCCATGTCTGGGTGGTACAAAATGCATGTCTTTGGTCTACAATAGTTGGAGTATGTGGAATTGGCTGGGAGCCCGGCTCGAGCCGCAAGACCGCCTCCACCAAATTTGGAGACCTAGTAGCTTCTTGTTATACTAAGTAGTAATGCCCTTAGCTACTGTAGCTTCTAGCTACCAGTAGCAATGCACTTGTTACTCATAGCGTTCGAACGTGTGTGAGCCGGTTCCCCCGGAGAGGCTGGCTTGCGCCGAGCCTCCCAAAAGCAGTTTCATTCAGATTTCAATCCGAACTCGAAAGAATCAAACCAGTGAGACTACGCCGTTTACCAGTTAGACCTGGCTAAGAGCCGTTCATTTCTTTAACATCTAACTCAGTCTTCGGATGCTCACGCTGTTGTTCTTCCCTTTTTCACGGCACCCGGAGCTTGGTGGGACAGGCTGTGTTCGTTGTCCCGAAATCCCCGCCAAAAGGCACCATGGCTGGACACACCACGTGCACACACGCGACGCGGTTGAACTAACTCGCGCATGCTTTCTAGCTGGCGGGGGGGAGGCATCGGGCGTGGCATCTTCTTTCTGGCAGGTCTGTCAGTGTTCCTTCCATGGAGATCTTCAAACAGCAGCCTCAAGAGTACATCGACATGGTCCGCAAGCCTAGCCAGCCGAGGGGAACGGTGTCTTATGGATTCTAGGGGGGCAAGACAATAGTGCCCTTGGTTGGTAGTGTTGCATCTTATTTTTGTGGAACCCAGAGGTGCTGCAAATGGTCTAAATATAATATATATAATGGAGAGAGAGAGAGAGAGATTGGGTTTGTCCTATTACCTCTTAACAAGCAGTCAGTGAACAAGAACATCACTATTAAAAGAAAAAAAACTACAACATGACAATGGGCACATAGGCCCTACAACGTGCTTTGACAGGCCTCAAAACGAATTTACTGCCTTTGCTCACCTGCTTTGAAGCATCTTACCACCCAGGGCTCCATTGCAAAATAGACCCTCCCAGACGCTCATGGACCCTCATATATAGACCACGGCAGCATGAGAATGAATGCGAAGACGGGGCAGCTCCCCAGCCGGTCGGTTTTTGAGGGACCGCTCGGGCGTCGTGTACGGAGGGTCAGCTGGGGCTGCCTTGGATCCGACTCCGCGCCAGGTGTTGCCCAACGCGTGCCGCGCGCGCGTGTCCATCGAAGCCAGCCGGAGAGACTCCTGGGGTGGCTTGGAAGAGAGGTATGGTGCAGAAATCAGAGGCTTCAGAGGCTTAAATGTAAACTCATTGACCACCTCCCCGCACCAAATGAAGAGTTTGTTCAATTCAAACTGGGAGGGGTTATGAATCAAGAGTCTCAATGACTCGAATGGCTAACATGAAATCACGGGTAGGTCACGTACTGTTGGGGGGATGTTGGAGTGTCAACCCCCACTCCAATCCAACACGTACTCCTGCTCATTGGGACCCTCCGAACATCTCCGAACTGGAGGGTTTGGACGCAGAATGCAGCGGTCACTTGGACCACCAAAGCTGCACTTGGACCTGGGCACGGTCCTCGATTCTGGCGGCGGATGGATTCGGTGAACCGGTTTACTCCGAGAACCGCTGTGAGGAGGTTCCGTGGGTGGAGAGCCCGTCCAGCCCGTTCGGACGAGCTGGCGTGTTGGGGTGCCAAAGGGTCCGGACACAGCCCCCGAGTCTTCGGGAGTGGACGATGGACAGTCACCTGGTGTCGCCGGGTATAGAGGCCTGCCATGAAAGAAGGAAACACCTTCCGCCTGAGCCTTAATGACCTGTTTCTTCGAGTCGCTGGAGTCGTTCGCTCAGGAAGCCTGATCGGCTTGGACGGCGAGCATGTGACTCAACAGCAGGGCACAGAGCCGGATCTTGGCGCTCTGGGCATTTTATTGGGGTTCTGGACACATCACTGGCGTATCACTCGCATCTTGCTGGTTTCCACCCCGGGATGAAGAGAGAGAGAGAGAGTTTTCCCCACCCTCAAGGCCTTTCAAATGACATAGATCAGTCAAGAAGGTTTCTAACTTCAACCCCTCCTCCTGCAATAAATCAATCACCCCCTTTTGCTTGAAGCTAGTTGAAGGGCTTCCTTCTGCGCTCATTGAAGGGAGCAAAGGCGGAACAGCATTATTACGCCAAGACAAGTCACAAAGGATATCCCAGACAAAGTCCCGAGCACAAAATCAACGTTATTGAGAACCAAAAAAGTAATAATTTCCTTTGTTTCTGTGAATCCAAAAAGTCACCTCCCTAGATGTTCATGAAAACAAACCAACAACAGCTACAACGCTGTTCATGTTTGGCTCAAGAAAACAGAGCGGTTCGGCTCACATGGGTTATGAGCCCAACAGGTAGCAAGACCACCTCAGAAAAGCTGAGTGCTGGCCGCCATGGATCTTCGGCGAAGGCGCTCGCAGTCAAAGGAGCGAGAGCCGACGGCGGATGAACGGCTGGATGCCTTGCTTGAAGAGGCAAGAGCATCGGAGAAACCCAAAGAGCCAACCAGGCGAACACAAAGCTTGGAGCCCAGTCGGATGTTGACGCCCTCGTTGAGGAAGACCTCATCGGCTTTGACGGCTGGCGCTTCAAGAGAACGATCTGCACCTGAAGAGGTTCGAGCGATCGAAAACCGAGATCGTGAAGTCCCTAGACAACCTCAAGGACCGCCAATGAGCTTCTTGCCGGTGGTTCCTCCTTTGCCTACAGGCTCACTACCTCCTCCTGTACCTGGACACCATGTTGGCGGACAAGTCGGAGGGCATGAAGGTGGTGGTGGGGCGCCGAGCTTGCTGCAGCCGGTCCAGGAGCAAGCCTGGGGAATGCTGGCTGGCTTGGGAATGCCTTTGCCTGGGATGTGGGGAGAGAGAGGAAGCCAATCACAAATGCCGATCTTGCCAGGGCAACGTGAAGCGGGTGGACCTATGATGGGGGCATCTATGGAAGCCGAACAGGTACCTAGTGGCCGATTGGCGGTGCAAGATCATCCACCAGAACGCGGGGTTGGTGAAGATCTGAAGGGTTCGGTGAAGAGTTCGCCGGTGAATCCATGGACAGCTGAGAAACTTCGTGAACTACATGACCAAGCCCAAGGCAGTCGTGGAGTACCTGATCCCGTGGAATTACTTCGTGCAAAATGTCTACAAGAAGCGGAGGTCAGGTTTCAAGAAGAAGTACAAAAGTTGGGTCAGCCGAGCTCGAACTCGTCTTTCCAGTCCGCAGTGGAGGCCCCTGGAGGCAAAGTTCAAGGTGGTGGAGATGGGCAAGCTACGAAATCGGTGACGGCGCCGATCGTGAATGTGGGACCAATGGCTCCGGGTGCAACACCTGTGGCTTACCCATGGCCCTATCCTCCCGGTTTACCTGGACAACTTCCTTGGGGGAATGGAGTGCGCGGCATTTTTCCGAATGGAGGTTCTGGTCCATCTACATCGCCAAATGCATGGGTGGCTCCAGAGGAATCACTGGGTGATCAAACCCGGTCAGTGGAATTGCCGGTGTTGGGCCTCGAAGCAACATCGCTGGCGTTTGGAGATTGGCTCACCACGCTGGAGCCGATTGTGTCGGAGACCAGCCCGGGAGCTAGTCAATGGTGGCAGCTGACCTTGAAGAGCGTGTCCAAGGCCTATGAGGAATGGCTGACGGCGGATCCGCTCCAACGACTTCGTCTGGGTCCTGTCTGCTTGGAGGAGGCGAACAAATGGTCTCGCACGGAGCGCAAAATGTTGAGCCTGTTGTTGCAGGTGGTGCCTGAGAACGTCAAAAATGAGGTCGTCACGACTCGGAAGATGACGGTAGCTCAGGTGTTGTTCATCCTGTATGTGAAATTTCAACCTGCAGGACAAAGTGAGCGGATGAACCTAATCCGAAATTTGACGGAGCTCAAGTTGACCAACAACATGCTGGAGGTCGCCCAGGGCATCCGCGCGTGGAGGAGATGGTGGAGCCGTTCAGAAGAGCTGGGAGTGATGCTTCCGGACCCTGTGGTATTGGCAGGGGTGTTGGTGAAAGCTTCAGACCATTTGGCTAAGTCGGGAGCGCAAGTTGCATACCGATTGGCAACCAGTCGGCAGCAGTTGTTGGTGGACACTCGTCCGACCCTTGAAAATGTCAAGATCTTCGCGGAGCACTTACAGGCCGAAGCCGAGGAGATGTCGATGGGCATGAACAATGGTGGAGGGAAGGGACTCTCACTGAAAGCAGTGGCAGTTCAACCTACATCGGGGACTTCGACTATGACCTCGACGGGAACCGGAGACAAAGATACCTGCAGGTTTTGGATGACCGAAAAGGGGTGTCGGCGTGGGGACCGTTGCAAATTCAAGCATTGCAGGTTGAGTCCAAAAGAAAATCGGTGCGTCAACTGCCCAGGCCTGAACCATAGCAAGACGTCGTGCCCATTCCTGAAGAAAGAGGGAAAGGGGGAGGAGACAGTCAAGGTGGCGAAGGTCAAAGGGGGAAGCTCGGGTGGCAGTCCGGAAAAACCGGACGTGGGTGGTGCTGGAGGAGAGGATGCCAATGTTTCCACTTCATCCGGGACAAGAACATCGGTGGAGGATGTGCCTGCTGGGGGAAAAGGAAAACCTAGTGGAGGTGCACCCCAAGGTGAAGAAGCAACAACTTCCGTGGGCGGTCTGGTGGAGGAGGCATCGGCTTTGTTGAAGTCCCTCCAAAGAGCTCGACTCATGGCGGTGCGGTGCAAATCGTTGGGGCCTTTGTCTATGGAAGATGAAGGAATGATGGGCAAGGTTGGCCTATTGGACGGAGGAGCAACCCATCCACTTCGAAAAGGTTCTCGCCAGGAAATCGAAGAGGCGGAGGAGGTCCCGGTTGATCTGGCCCATGGACGAGTATGGCTTCGACAACATCCGGTGACTGGAACTATTTTGGTGGAGGGGCACATTGAACCTATCGTCCCGGTGAGAGGTTTGATTGAGCTGGGCTACAAACTACAATGGAGCCGCAATGGTTGTGTGGTGGTGCATCCCCGGCGAGGAAAGATCGCGTCGTGGCTACGGGATGGTTGTCCCGTGGTGGCGGAGGAGGATGCCCTGGCCCTCATTGCGGACATTGAGGTGGCTGAGCGAAAGAAAGTTGAGGACTTGAATCAGGAGGAGAATCTGGACGGGGACATCATGATGTGGTGGCAAAAGCGCTTTCCTCAAGTTCCTACCCGAGTGTTTCGCTACATGTCGGAAACTCCAGACAACTCATCAAGTCCATTGCCGTGGAACAGAAGTGTACGACGGCGGCTGCAACAGTCGAAGAAGATCCTACTTCACCTCTATGCGGGGGAGAAGGCGGAGGAATGGAAAGAACTGGAAGCTCATGGTTGGGATGTGATCACCTTGGACATCACAAAGGGAAAAGACCAAGATGTACATGGACCAAAACTATGGGGCTTCTTGACGGAATTGGCCAGAAAAGGGGCCATCAAATGTGTGGTGGGAGGACCGCCTTGCCGTACTGTTTCCCGCATGAGGTTCAAGAGACCAGGACCGAGGCCACTACGTGATCGCGGAGAAGGACGTTTTGGATTACCTCATCTAAGCGCAGGGGAGCAGCGGCTGGCAGACCATGACACGGCCCTGGTGTTGAAACAACTGGGTATCTTCTACATGGCGGAGGAAGCTCGACTACGTCATGGCCTGGGAGAAGAACCGACGGGGTTCCTGTTGGAAAGTCCGGAGGACCCGGGAAAGAACAAATTGGGAAGCATGATGCCGTCATTTTGGAGCTGGGAAGAACTTCAGGATTTGGCATCTGAAGCAGGAATGAATGTGATCAATTTTGATCAACGTCCTATGGGACACTGTCGAAAGAAACCTACAAGTATCCTCACAAACTTGCCCAACATGCTTGAGTTGCAAGAGCTTAGAAGCCCTACTGGACAAGATGAACCCCTGGCCGACAATTTGAGTGAAAGAATTGAACAGTCAAGGTCATGGGCACTATGGGCTCCAGGTTTTCGAGCAGCAGTATGGGCTTCTCTCAAGATCTACATGGCCAAGTTGCTACAGCAAGCTCCTCGGATTGCCAAGGCGCTCACAGGGAGGGAGAAGGAACTATGGGCCCAACATTTCCGACAAGGACACACACCTTTCCGACGTGACTGTCGCTTATGCGTCGAACAAATGGGGGCACAGCGACCACACAGAAGAAGGAAGGAGGGACAAACTATGACATCCTCATGGTCCATGTCGGTGGATATCGTGGGACCTCTACCCCGAGCGAAGGATCTGGCCACAAGTCACTACATGAAGTATGCCCTGGTGGCGGTGGCACTGGTTCCGGACTTTGGCCAGGACAAGAAGGAGACCATGGACGATCAAGAGGCTCTGGAGCACGAAGAGGGCGGAACTGAGGAGCGAGAACAACCGGAAGAAGGACCACATCCACGGGAAGATGAAGAACCGGGGGAGGTGGACTTAGAAAAGGAGGAAACTCCGGAGGAGGAACAATTTCACAAGGAGTTGGAGGAAAGCCTCAAAAGCGTGCCGGTGAAGCATGTGGTGCATGCGGAGCCCATCGCCTCAAGAGCCCAAGATGAAGTGGTGACAGCTATGCAGAAGGCATTGGCAGGTTTCAAGGCAATGGGGATCTACATCAACCGGCTGCACTCCGACAGGGCCAAGGAGCTGATATCGAAGCCGATGACGGCGTGGTGCGCTCGAAATGGCATTGTTCCTACCACAACAGCAGGGGGTGATCCAGCCTCCAATGGACATGCAGAATCTGAAGTACATCAACTCAAAAGGAAGGTTCGATTGCATCTGGCGGAGAAAGAATGTGACGTGACGTCATGGCCGGACGCCTTCAGATATGCAGCCATGGAGCGAAGATATAAACAACTGGAAGCTTTAGGGGTGCCTTGCCTTCCGATGCTGCCTTACAGGGGAAGGGTGTTGGTCAAGGTGAAGAAATGGCACAAGGGTGGAGGATTGGTGGCACCGTTCGCGGAGGCGGTGATCCTATGTCCCAGCCACTTGGTAAATGGTGGATGGGTGGTACAGCTCAAAGATGATCGTGTACTACATGTACGAGAAGCGGTGCAGACGAATGAAGAAGGAGAACAGCTTCGAATCCAACAAGGACCGCGTGGTGAAGTGGTTCAACTACACCTGGAAGAAGATGACCGACCTGGACAACCACATCGACGAATGACAGGCAAACAGCCGTTGGGAGATACTCCATGCTTGAAGGGGGGCCCGAACAAGGGTACGGTTCCTTTGCCAGCGGGGGGGGAGTATTCTTCATCGTCGACAATTTTGAGGCCGAGTACATCAACTTCGGAGCTATGGAAAGATTCGCCGGAGAAGTTCCCAAGATCTTCAACAGCAGCCTCGGCCGCAGGAGTTCGTGCTGTGAAGGTAGAACCCGCTGGAAGGACCGTGGAGCAGGAGATGGGAGACCAGGGGCGATGGTTAGACATGGACCAGGTGAAGGACACATGGGAGTGACAACATAGGATGCTGCAAAAACAACTGTCCAATTTGGTGGATGATGTTCCAAGAAATGCCACACAGGGAGCGCAGTCGGGATTGGAGGTGGAATGGTTTGTGGATTGGAGAGATGACCTGGAGGACAATTTGATCAGGTTGGGCAGAGTGGAAAGGGACACTCGAGTGCATCTGTGTAGCCTCCAAGCACAAGAGCCGGACATTCTGCAGACCATCACGGTACCCTTGCATGAAGTCCGTGACCACCCTCAAGACTGGATTCCTGCCTTTCAATATGAATACAATGTCCTTGTGCATGACACCCAAGCTGTACATCCATTGCCCCGTGAAGAACTTCCAGAAGGAACAGAATTGATCCCTGGCAAAATGGTATGTGTGCGTAAGGGAGGATCTGGACAACATCGGGCTCGTGCTGTTATATGCGGAAATATGGCCTCTCCAACAGCAGACCCGTCGTGGGGACCAGCAGGAAGCTATGCCTCCGGTGCTGATGGAACATTGATCCGTTGTGCCGTTCGTCAAGCAGCACATGAAGGGTGGCAGGTGTCAGCGCTTGATGTCAAAAGTGCTTTCTTACAGGCCCCAAGGCCAGTGGCTCCGGGTGCAAATCCAGTTGCGGTGGTTCCGCCGCGTTTGATGTCCCAACTGGGCATATGCCCGGACAATGAAGTGTGGGTGGTCAAAAAGGCGCTCTACGGGTTCCAAACCTCTCCAAGCCATTGGGCACTACATCGGGATGAGCGCTTCTCTACATTCGAATGGGAATGTCAGGGGGAGAAGTTCATGTTGCAGCCCACAAAAGAAAGGAACCTATGGCGCATTGTGAAGGAGGGTGACAAGAGGCCCGTGGGACTGATGCTGGTATATGTCGATGACCTTTTGGTGATGGGCACGTGGAAAGCTCATGATGGTTTGGTCTCACGCATTCAACAAGAATGGAAAACGTCCAAGCCGGAAAAGGTGAACAAAGAAGATTGGGTCAGGTTTTGTGGCTTCGAGATGAAGATCCAGGAGGAGAACATCTTGGTGGGACAACCATCCTATCTACAGGACCTTCTCCGAAGAAGGGGAGTCACTACAAAAAGATCCACACCATTGCCCAAGGAACATCTCGCCGCGATGGAGGTCGAGGAGGAGATCAAGATTGAGGATGTGAGACAGGCGCAAGCGATTGCCGGGGAGATCCTTTGGATGTCGGTGAGAAGCAGGCCTGATCTATCCTATGCAATTGGGGCACTGGGTCGAGAGGTCACCAAACATCCTCGCTGGGCAGTACAGACGGGGCACTATATCCTGGAGTATTTGAACGCCACAGCGGATTGTTTCCTGGCCTATGGACGCTGCAGAGAGAAAGATCGCGGACCTGATGATGCCTTGGCTTGTGAACGCAGCATGAATCTGGTCGAAATCTACTGTGACGTCTCCTATGCACCTCAAGGAGAAAAAAGTATCCAGGGCATCGTGGGGATGGTAGGAGGGGGAGTTGTGCAATGGGAGTCATCAAGGCAAAGTTGCATGGCCCTTTCCACCGCTGAAGCTGAGCTTCTGGCCTACATCGAATCCTCGGTGATGGGGGACAGCTTGCAGGCTCTACTTGGAGAAGTATTGGGCCTGGGGGAGCTGCCTTCGGTGGTTACATATGGTGACAGTCAGGCCGCCATTGCCATCATCCAACAACCCGACGGCCCGTGGAGAACAAGACACCTGAGGTTGAGATCCTATGCCTTGAGAGAAAGGGCTCGGTTGGGGACGTGGCAGATCTACCACCTTGAAGGATCGAAGTTGATTGCGGACTTCCTGACCAAGGCGATTGCGGTGAAAAGTTCCTGGAACAGGTTCCGGCAGTTCATCAACATGGTGGACCTGGGTGAGAATGTCATTGCCACGAAGGACGACGCCCTGACGGCCGAGAACGATGGAGGTGTGAGGCTGGCCAAGGTAGCTTTGCGCATGGCGAGCTGTGCAGCTTGTCATCAATGGCCCAATGCGGTCACCAAGATTGCAGTAGTAGCTTCGCTAGCGGTAGCTTTAGCCTTTGAAGCCACTCGTCTGATAGGGAAGAGGGGTTCAGGACCGGGGGATTCGAAACCTCCTACTTCACATGGTCAGTCAATCAGCTGTAGCTATGGGGGAGAATCCAAGGGTTCTGTTCGACCTCGATTGTGTGCCCTGCGAGGTGGATCCTCGGCAAGGGGAACAAAAGACCAAGGGTCACCAAAAGAAGAACAAAGAAAAGAACCAGAAGACAAAAGTGAACAAGAGGCCAAAGAATCTTTTGCGTCGGGCCGCACGCAAGGGTCGGAACATTTCGATCCCAACGGTAGCCTAGAGGCTTCCTGTGTAGGATTGGAAACGTCGAGCGTGCGCCATGGCGTTTGGGGCAAGATTCAACTGCGCTTCAGTGGTGGCGGAGGCGAGACTGGGTTCTTCGGCAACCAGGGGGTTGGCAACTCGACCGCATCGTCATCGGGGGCAAGGACATGGGAAGAGCATGGAGGAGAGTCATTCTCTCCCTCAGTGAAGGCTCCGCCGATCCTCCCGAAGGAAGTTCCGATCGGTCAGCAACCGCCGGTAAAACCTCCACCGGTTTTGCCAAAGTTTGTGCAACATACTCCGGACATCAATGCCAACTGCAGATCCGGGGGAGAGAATGCTTCGTGGAAGAGGCCGCCCGCCTACATGGTTGAAGAGAGCGGGGGAAAGGCTGCTGCACGTGGTGCCGCGGCAATGGGGACTTCTTCAAAAAGTATGACTGCTTCAAACGGCTATGGGGGTTCTTCATCGTGTCCAAGGTCTTTGGCATCTGCATGGCCGGATGAAGCACCACCGTGGGTTCAAACACCGAAACACATGGCGATGCCTCGCCCACCGGTTGAACCTGGAGAAGATCCACACCGGGGCTACGAAAACCCTTGGGAGCGGCCACATTGGCCCCAAGCTCCACGGCTGGTCCCTCCGTATGGTGCGGAGGAAGATCAGTTGATCTTGCAGCCATCAGTGTGGTGGACCCAATTGTTGTTCGACAAAGTGCAGCTGCTGGTGGATGAGGAGGCGACGAAGTTCCGACCAATTCCTCGTACGGATGCATGGGACTACCTACGCCTGCCATCAGCAACATGGTTGACACGCCGGCATAGCCTTCGGGTTCAGAGATTCCACCCGGAGCACCGATCGACTCCAGAGGATCTGAGAGCACTGGAGTACCTGCGGGTGACGGTGGCTTGGGTGCTGGACCTTTCCAAGATGACTTTCGGCAACCGGCTGGTCTACGTGGATGCGGACTGGCGAAAGGACGCCCTGCCGAATGTCCATGGTCGCTGGTGCGGCTTTAGCTTTTTCCTGATCAAAGATCAGGTGGCTTGAAAAGACCAACTGGTCGAGGTACGGCAAAATGCCGTAGGGGGAGTGTGAATCCAAAAAGTCACCTCCCTAGATGTTCATGAAAAGAAACCAACAACAGCTACAACGCTGTTCATGTTTGGCTCAAGAAAACAGAGCGGTTCGGCTCACATGGTTTCATTTATGCTAGATGCCTACAAGGAAGAGCGTTTGCGATCAAAAAGGCACTGGAGCTAGTGCTCTCTTTGGGGGCAATTACCACAACTGGTGATTTCCGGCGATTTCAGATGCTTGCCATGCAGAATGTAGAAGTCATACTTTTCGTCGGACATGACTTCCTGTGGCCAACACTTTCGAGAGCGACCAGCCAAACACATCCTCTACATGTCACTTCATCCCGAATCTAGCGTTTGGTCCACCCGGCCCCAAAATTCTCAACCAAAACAAATACACAGCTCCCTGGACACTGAGCCCCTCCCTGGCCCCTTCAAACCACCTGGGCGTTTCGCGCTGGCCGAGGTCGGCATGATCACCTTTGGCTTGTCGGCGCCCAGCAAGAAGGTCCAGATCGAGAAGGGCTTCACGGTCGACGCCGTCACCGCCGCGGCCAGGCCAGGCAGGTGGCAGTCGGATGGTCCAAGTGAAGCCATCCATATAGGTCGGAAGGGACCCTTGGATTGTGGATGTGAAAGGATGTACATCAGGAGGATGAAAAGGATGTCCACCACGTCCATTCCTTTTCATTACGGTCATGATGGGGTGTTCGAGGCCTGGAAGACAAAGCCACCATGTGTTGAGAAGTTGCCCTGAAGAAATGCCCTAAAGAGGGAAGTCATCTTTCACTTCGCTGACCTGTTTGAGCAAGAGGAGGAGTTATCATGACCCATCATGACCTGTTTCGGCAGAAAACATCGGTGTCGAACACCCCCCCCATGCGGCCTTTGCCTGCCTTTGCCTGCCTTTGCCTAGCCGCCAGGCGTGTCATGAGCGGCCAGCCTCGACAGATCTCATCCAGAGCAGAGGTCCTTAAGTCGTGGAAGAAACGGAAGCTGAGCACCTGACCCAGGCTGCACGGGCTCGGCACGAGCCCAGCGGTCCGTTGTTAGGCGGTGTTGGGGGGTCCCAAAACATGAGGCCAAGGGCCACATGACGACGCGAACGCAGCCGCTTTGGGGTTCGTCACGTGATCAGGAGACCAATCTTGACCCATGTTGGGTGTTTTCGTGACCATGAGGATCCGTCATGAGTCATGATCCGTCGGTGTTTGTTGAGGATCTGCTGGCAGGTGTTCGATTTTTGGATCCCCAGGCATCAGATCATTGGAACGACTGGTGCTTAATTCGTTGCATCAGTGAAGTATGTGAACTCTTGAGAGAGCCAGGTGATTGTTCAAGCTTCAATTGGTCAAACGTGTTTGAGCAAGCTGCGAGTCTTGTCATCGCAAGCTGCGAGTCTGGTCATCGCATGCGGAGAAGGGATTGTGTCTCAAAAAATAAGCCCAGGGATCCTATTAAATGTTCTAAAGGTTCTATCTTCCCAACGCCGTGAAGAAGGTCAGAGTTTTCGGACCCTGCGAAGGTAGAACCAACAGTTTCCATCTTCGCTTCCCGGGGCCATGACGTCGTTTCTTGCAAACCCATGTTGTCCTTGACCAATTGGAGATCCACTGGCGCCTCTGTGCACGGTGGACAAAGATTCAGCGGCCTCTGAAATCTACCCGGCGATGAAAGATCCGGAGCACAGCGGCGCGGCGCGAGTCGCGTCGTGGCGCCCTGACGTCGGATCTGGGTCGACTCCATTCGGGTCGTCCGACCGTCGTGGAGTTCGGTCGGAACTCTTTTCCCGAAAAAAGTCTGAAAGGGAAGAAGACAGATGTTGTGAAGAGTAATGGTTTGAATGATCATCTGTGAAGAGATTTGTTGTGGACACGGATGTTGGAAGGAAGAGAGAATGATGAAAATGGAGGGCATGAGGGAGACCTTGGGAGGACATGGAAAGGGGAAAAGGTAGAGGCACTGGCACACCGGACAGATTCGGAGAGTGGGAGGACGTGGAAATTCAGACTGACTGACAGTGGAGAGTGATATAATGATGGGAGTTTGAGAGGCATCGAATGAGGCATCGAACGGCAAATATGCAAAGAGTACCCTGGGATCCAATCAATGGTCTTTACCAAAGAACCATTGTTTTTACTAAGGATTTGTACACTACACCACCAGCTCAACCGTTCTTTTAATGGTCGAACTGAAGGTTAGGCATATGGGTTCTAGAGTGGGTTCTAGGTATGCAGTGGACAGCTAAACGATTGATGTGTCTTTTTTCAGATCAATCACAGAGTCCAGTCGCCTTTGGCAGCGGGACCGGTGCAGAAGAGGTCGTTTTCTGCCATCCATAGTGGTGAGCAGATGAGGTCATTCTTGGAGCCTTCAAATTCATCGTTTCCGTTTCATCGCAATATGGACCCCCCAGTCAGAGAGATCTATAGAATCCCAGTCAAAAGGTCTTGGAAACTTTGGAAACCATGCAATCCTATCTATTTGGGGAGCACCTTTTACGCATATTGCCATATTGCCATGGGATTGACCGGCGGAACTGGTCTGGTCGCAGCCAGTGCCGGCAGCGAAACCTCGTGTGGGCAGAAGCAGTCGGACAAAGAACGGATCCTTTCAGGTGATCCGTCGGCGAATCTACGACGCATCCGTCCTCCGCTCGGTGTTTTGGAATCTACCACCGGATCCCACATGGTGCGGCGGCCTCGGCAGACATCCGCAGTCTTCAGACTGGTGTCCCCCACCATGGTAGTGTTCCGAAGGCTCGAGTACTTCACCAAACAAACCTCGGTTCTGGGGCTTCCAAACCTCGGACCGAGCATGAGTGAGACGTCCGAAGGCTCGGGTACTTCACCAAACCCACCGAGTCCTCGGTCCATCCTCGTCCCCAAGTCCGCTCGGTGCTTCACGTCTTGGTGCTTCCAAACCTCGGTCCCCAGGGTCCGGCCGCTTTCGCCGGAACCTCCGAACCGAACCGAACCCGACGCGGAACCCGACGCGCAGAGTGCGGTCCGTCAGCGGTGCGTCCAGACGGTTCAAGATCCGACCCGCCCGGGGGCCGACGCGCGGAGATGGTGAAGGCGCAGCGGATGTCGAGGGTCTCGTGAGGAGATGAGAGCGGAGTCGGGGCCGTCGTGGTGGGCGAACGTGCCAAGCACCTGTTGTCCTCGCCCTCGGATCCTTGACCTTGGATTCATCCTCAGATCTTCGGAAGAAGTGTCCAGATCTTTCAACCTCCTGGCTCTTCCCTTGGTGCCGAAGCCTACCCATGTTTTTCACCTTTCCGTCAGCTCCTCCACGTCTACTCGCGGACCCGCTCCGCTGGCTCGTTGGGTCGGGTTGAGGTGAAGGCCTACGAGCTGCGGTCCAAGACCTCCAAGGAGTTGCTGAAGGAGCCGGAATCAACATTGAAACGACCACCTTCCGGGGTTTCACCATCCGAGGGGAAGGCAAGTTGGAACCTCAAGAGTTAAGAGTTGCAGATGTCTCCAGCTCGCTGTGTCGGTGTTAGTATCATGTTCTCCAGCTCGCTGTTGTGGTTGCTGTGGTCGCTTGTGTGTCGGTTGTGGTGTGTAGTTCTTTACTTTTTGATTGTTTTTGGATTTGTCTTCGTCGTGGCCGGTCGAGCCGCGGGGATTGCAGTGCTCCTAGAGAGAGAGGGTGTCAATGTGATGGTCTCTTGTCGAGACCCGTGCTGCCGCTGCCTGGATCATTGGATGTCAGCATGTGAGTCGTGATCCATCAAGTGGTATGGGATCTGTGTTTCAAGGAGCGTCTACGTATAGCCTAGCTATAGCAGTGATAATTAATTACCATGTGGTTTCAGAGTAGATGGCACAACCCCCAAAAGGTGGTTTATATCGACCACCATCTAAAAGTCATCTTGGGGTCTATGCCATCTACTCTGAAACCACTGTATAAACAAAAGGCTTGCTTGGTGGATATTCCAGCGTCATCAATTCTCCAAGCTTGCAACCTCTTAGTCTTATCTCAATGAGAGATGTGCATCAATACTTGCATCATTTTACATCATCTTACTACCCTGTCAAAAGTTTCTCTGTCACCCGCTGGGATGACCCACCTTTTGTCCAGGATCTTGTGTGACTTTGCTGTGACCAGGGCCTGGCACCACCGCCCTAACTGTCACCACCGCAGTGCCACCGCCCTGTCATACCTCGTTTTGCTGCCGTGCTTCCCACCGCGGTCGGATGCGTTTCTTCGGCGCGAGTGGCGCGCGCTGCACTTCGCGCTGGCACAGCTCCGCCAGGAGCTGGATGACATGAAGTCCGAGCTGGCACAGCTCCGAGTGGCCAAGGCCCGCACGCGCAACGCGGGACGCGCACGGGACGCGGGTCGCGGAAGGCGAACCGGAAAAAACGACCGGGGTCGGTTCCAGGAACGGAAAAAAGGGGGCATGCTTCAGCCGATCCAAGGATTTTGTGCGCATCTCAAGGACATCAATGCAGGTGAACCGCGATGGGACCGAGTAGTATACGAATTTGTGGGTTTGGATCTGCGGATGGGTTGATTCGAAGTTCCATTCAAAATGGACTTCCTCCTCACTTCCGCACCTTCCTCACTTCCGCCGGTACCGCCCTCCTCACGAAATCGCCAGGTCTCCGGCGGTGCGGCCTCGAAGCTGGCGAAGATCAAGGCGCTGGCGGTGTCGCCTTCACACGACGCGACGGGTCGGGCAAACCGGTGACGAGTCCAGGCGACGGGCGACGCGGTCGACTTCGTGGCTGGAAACCGGTCACCGGTTGGTTTGGGTCGGTGAGACAAGAAGGTGAGAGAAGGAGAGAGAAGGTGCACTGGGGTTGAGGGATTTCCATCCATTTCCTTGAGTCTTGTGCAAGTTTCGTGCGCCTCATCGGATGGAGCCAGGCCCCCCACGAGTTGTGGTTTTGGGGCGTAGATTCCTTTGCTAGTAATTACAATTCTAATTAAATTCTTATTGTTACTACTAGTAAGGCACCTGTTACTAGTAGCGATGCCAGGAGCCCCTAGTAGCGTCCCTTGGATAACTTCGGAACCGAGAGTTCTTGGACTTAGGAGGTCAGTGGAAGGGGCAGTTTCACGAAACTTGACCGGAAGAAACGCCACCTCCTCTGGGCTGGCGCAGAGGAGTCTCAGGTTGGTTTCTATAGTAACACTGGCCTTCAAAGACCATTAAAGGAGAGGTTGACCAGAGTTGACCTGAGTCGAATCCATTTAGATTTGCATCCTGCAGAAATGGCCCATGGTGTGTTTTGGCTGTATGCCATAAGTTTTTTGAAAATGCTTCCAGTCTTCCACCCTGGAGTTTGCGCAAGCAGCGCAGCACTCCGAAGAGTCATGGGATCGTTGCTATCCATCCGCCGAACGTCCGACGGGCGCGGGTCGAGTGGGTCGGGTCGGACGGGACGCAGCAGGTGGTGCGAAAGGGTATCGCCCGGGTCTTGACCGTCTACAACATGAAGCAGAAGGCGGAAGCGCGAAAGCAATACAAAGGCGGGTGGGGCCCGGGTGGGGGGGTAGATTGCTGGCAAGAAGTACAAAACAAAAAAGCAAAAAGTGGGCTCGGCCAGGCCAAAAAGCAATTGAGAAGTGGCTATAGTCATAGTCACTAGTTGGATTTCCGTGGCTTTGAAGACCATTTTCAGTGGGTGAGGTGGGTTCTGATCCCCTATGAGCAAGAAAGAGGAACGAGAAACCCAGGGACATGAAGATCCCTCTTCACATCTTTAACATACAGGAGCTTCTTCTTGGAAGGATTTTCCGACCTATGACATCATCCACCAGAGTCTTTGGATGAAAACCTTTTGGTGGCTAAGAAGAAATAAGGATAAATAGGATCCACTGCCTGAAAGGCCTTCTTTCTTGTCTTTGCCGATGCCTTCACTACGATATGATACCGTCTTCAGAATCAAAGCCCTAAACGGGACGGGCATCACTGGGGTCTTTGTGGGCTCGTTTCCTGTAACTGCGTGTGTCCAACGCTCCAATGGAGCAGTGAAATCGACACAAAAATCGATACAAAAGAAAGAAGAACGCACAGTCACCAGCTCGCGCATCGCGCGTGCGGCCGCGCGCAAGCTCGCTCATGTCCTGCGGTGATCCTGCGGTGTTACTCTCTTTCTTCGCATGCCTCGTCGCGCATCTCGCGCATCGTGGCATCGCGCCGTTCGCGTGTTCTTTTTGCTGTGGCCGAAATCAGGCAAGAAGTACGTGCCCTTGGACTTGCGCCCCAAGAAGACCCGCAAGATCCGTCAAGCTCTCAAGGCCGAGCAGAAGTATGCGAGTCTCGGCGGACGACGACGGGGTGTTTGCTACCACTGGGACGGGTGTTTGTGGTGGTTGTTATTGTGTTGGTTGCGTGAAGCAGGGCAATGAACCGCAGAATGTGTGATGAGCAGCGTGTTCTTTGTCCTTTTCAGTTTGCTCGCATCAAACAGGAGCATTTTGCTGTGCTTTTTTGTCCCATCCAGGGACCGTCGATGTGACACCGTCACCTCCTTCCGTTCGACACCCCGAGCGAGCGAGCGACATGTCGACTCCGTTTTGGTTCCAATGCGACTCGCTCCAAACTGGCGGACATCGGGGCCAAAGAGGGATCTTGACTCCAGAACCAATGACCTCTGCCGTCTTCCACCCACCCTTCCGGTCATTCCGCCACTCACACGCCCATGCGGCCGGGGAAAACGGGTCACCGTTACATCGCCCGACGCCACGGACAACGAGGAAGACCGCCCGGACGAAGACCCGCGAGAGCAACTTCCCCATGCGCCGCTTTGCTGTCAGCATGTGAGAGCGGCCTTCCTGCCCGACCGAACGGACGAGATCTTGCACCCAACAAAAAAGGGGGGGACGCGATGTGGCGCATGGTGGGGGGGGCGCGTCGTGGTGTCTATAGGCGCGGTGAGCATGCATCATGGGAAGTGTGCAGAGTGCCTTTTGTTGGTCTTCTAAAATCGGAGGTCTCTTGCTGGTCTCGTGTGCGGCGCCGCAAGGAGATTCAAGTTGATTCGAAGGGTCTCCAGATATTTACCTCGATTTATCTACCTGCACCATCCAATGAGTGTCCAATGGACTACCCTACACACTTATAGGTCTCCATTGGACACCCATTGGGTGGTACAGACAAATTCGAGGTGTGGAACGCCTGAAACATCGACCTGAGGGTTTGGTCCGTCGTTGGTTGAGAATCAATCCCGTTTTCACCATGCTTAGCCTTTGCTAGCCTGCAGTTTTTCTACATCTCGGGTCGCTGGGGTGGGGGACTCGGGTCACCTGAAGTCAGACCTGAAGAGTATACCTGGCACGGTCGACCATGTAAAGACCACCGGACTCCTAAGGGTTACAGTGGTTTCAGAATAGATAGCACAGACCCCAAGATGTCCTTTAGATGGGGGTCCATATAAACCACCTCTTGGGGTCTGTGCCATCTACTCTCAATCCACTATAAATAGATCATCCCTACCCCTATTAGAACGAAGTTCCCCGTTTGACCACGGACCGCTTCGCATGGCATTCATTGGAAGAGCTTCGGTTCGTCTTCAACACAACCGATTCGTCTTCACCCAACTCAGAGAGGTCCGTTTGGGTCATCGCTGCGGTCGGTTTTGGGGGGGGCACCATCAGTTGGGGTGTGAAGAAGTTGATCTCCTTGGCCTGGTCATTTGCCGCATGGTCTGTTCTTCCTTCCACTTTCAGAATGGGAAGAGGTTTCCGAGGGCGAGATGGCCATCTCAGGCCCCTCGGTCGCCAGAGAATTCAGATTCTGTCGCCGGAGGTTGTGGGGAGACAGAGAAATGGACCAAATTGATTCTACAACCTTTGGCGAAAGTTGGCTGTGAGTCAAACCTGGGACACCCTGAGGGTGGCCAATGAACATGAACAGAATCAACTAGAATAGGTTTTAGGACAGGCAGGCTCTGGCGGCTCTGACTCACAAGCAAATGCTGCCGGTCATGAGCCAAATGGATTGACCAAAAATCTCCGAAAATGAACCGAATAGACTACAAGACCGAACGTCAACCTACCAGGGTGACTTCCGGTCCGTACCAGACCGCACGGCTCCACCGCTGCAGCGTCCGCACCCCACCGGGCCGTCCGCACCGGCTCCGGTGCACGGAGCTCGGCAGGCGGGGCCAGGCGAGCTGGAAGATGATTGATGATGTTGATGTTAGAATGAAGAACGTTCGAAAAAACCCGAAACACGAGCTGTTTGGGACTGGCATATGAATCCATACAGACAGGGGTGGTTGAACAGGGGTCAAGTGATCGGCATATTAACCATACGTGGAGTGTTTGGGTTATAAGCACATATAATAGAAGTTGGAAAAAGCTTTGCCTGAGTCAGACTTGACTTGTATTTTTTGGGGGTAGGAGATGCTACCCCGGATCTTTTTCACTCTTAGATCTTGGCAAACACTATTTACAGCCTTTGGCATGCCGCCGGCCATCAGCTCGAGCCCGCACGGCTGGTCGCCATGGCCCGGGCGTGTGTAGCTGTGTGTAGCTATTGTGTTTTTTTGTGTGCAGGTTATGCAAAGGTTAGCTAACAGAGTGTACGATATCAAAGTGCGTGAAAACAAGGGGTTTGTGCGCGACATGACTTGGAACATGCACGCTGGCTGGAGATGTTTGTGTCAATGAGGTGCGGCGTCAAAACGAAGTAGTGTAAGAGCCATGTAAGTGGAGAGCAACTGGCCAAAAACAAAAGCTGCGCTGGTGTAAAAGCGAGTGGGCAGCGAACAGTACTTGCAGAGAGCGCGTGTGTAACACAGAGCTTCTGCAAAAGCGACATGTAAGCGAAAAAAAGTAGCGAGGAAATGGTTGCAAGGGGCTTGTGCGCGACATGACTTGGAAGGTGCACAGGTTGCGGTGTCAGAACGAAGTCGTGTAAGAGCCATTGCCTAGAATAACGCCTTGACAGTGTAAGCGATATAGAACCCAATTGGCAGCGAGTTCCCGCAAAACGCGTGGAAAAACCAAGGTTGTTATACGTTTTTCTACACACGCGCGACTGTGCGCCAATGCATGGCCTGCTTGAAAAAGACGAAGAGGGGGAAGAGAAGAGAAGGAGAACGAGAACGAAAAGAGAAGAGAAGCGAAGACAAGAGACGAGACAAGGCGACAAGACAAGACAAGGCGAGAGGGGGGTAGGAGCGCCTCAACATTAAAAGACGAAAAATGAGTTGGGAAGATGATTTTCATTACTAAAAGTACGAGCACCTCAACATTAAAAGAAGAAAATGAATTGGGAAGATGATTTTCTTTATTAAAAGTACGAGCACCTCAACATTAAAGAAGAAAAATGAGTTGGGAAGATGATTTTCTTTACTCAAAGTACGAGCACCTCAACATTAAAAGAAGAAAAATGAGTTGGGAAGATGATTTTCATTACTACAAGTAGGAGCGCCTCAACATTAAAAGACGAAACATGAGTTGGGAAGATGATTTTCATTACTAAAAGTACGAGCACCTCAACATTAAAAGAAGAAAAATGAGTTGGGAAGATGATTTTCTTTACTCAAAGTACGAGCACCTCAACATTAAAAGAAGAAAAATGAATTGGGAAGATGATTTTCTTTACTAAAAGTAAGGCAAGAGAGAGGGGGGGGGGGCGTCAGGCTGTCGAAAAATCCGCGCGGAGAGACAAACCTTAAGCTGAAACCAAGACAAGCTATACTAACCAAGACAATCCACAAAACACGCCGGCAGGCCGGCGGATTTGTGGACTCTAAAAACACTAAAAGTATTAGATACTGTCCCTGCGCTATGTGTTTTTTACTCCCTGTGTTATGTGCACAAGCGGCTGTCCCCGCGCTCCTCGCGAGCGGCAAGAGCCGGTTGGAGTCTACAGGCTGCTGTATGCCCCCAGACACGACTGGGGACAAGACCTCGCAGACACAGGAACCACAAAACCTGAAAAGGAGAAAGGAGAAACCACACGCTTGAAAAAGGATCACTACGGGAAGGGACCCGCACATATCCTGTGTGGGTCCTTGACGCGTGAGCCCAAACCCATGCAAGAGATGCTTGGTTTGTTGATCCGGAACAAGGCTTGAATATACTCGAAGAACTAGCTCTTCTGTTTCTCACAACAATAGGGTCTCAGAGCATGAAGTGTCTAGGCTGTTTGGCTTGGTGTTTCAGTCATACTTGTTTGATCGGTAACCCGATGCCCTTCTGATTTCAGCTCGCAGGCAAATGCTCTGTGAGGGTGATACTGGGTGGCTGCGGGGCAGAGATATATGTGAACTGAAGTGCCTTCAAATTTTGCGATGATTACAATTGCATAAGAGTGTTGCATGCATATGTTGGCGTGCTCCAAACCCTGGCAAACAACAGCCGCACCTAATAAATATTGACCGTACTTCTTGTATTTTGAAGCCTGGCAAGGTACCATCTCTGGCTTCACACAACCTTGCGCAACCATGACTTGAGAACTCTAAACACAGCCAGAAAAAGGACATATGGAAACAATGGATGCGTTGAAGGTATTGCACAGCGGCAAGGTTTGGGAGATTCGTGGCCACTCCCATCTTCAAGGCTGTTTGGAAAGGTGGAACCGATTAACTCCCTAAAAGTTGGCCATTTGGTGCCTTGTAATGGGGACCTGCGGAATATTGTGGGCAATGCTAATCTTGCAAAGCATCGAAACGCCACAGCCTATCCTAGACCCATTGCCTATCATCGCCCTCGAGGGTCAGTTGTTTGGGTGAAGCTGGCGCGCCGACAGCGCCCAAAAAGGGTTCGTGGACAGTCCCGGAGCTCGCGGATGCAGAGAGGCAACTGCTGCACAACCAGACATCTCAGAGGACACTGATTCGAAGTACCTACGTAACCAGGACGTTTCAGGAATTTTGCGAGATGTGCTGCAAACAAAAGCACCAGGTAGGTGGCTTATACGGATGTTCCCTCCGCAGCGGCTCTATCTCATCAGTCGCAGTGTGCTACGTACTGCTGCACTCGAGCTTCTGCCTTCCTTGGATGCACAAGCAGAGTGATATGCATCCAGGCTGTACCTTCTTGCAAGTTGCTGCAGACAAGCGCTATATGATCCACCAAGGCCTTCGACAGTCTTCTGGTGATTCGCTATGCCAGCTGACACTATGCTCATCCAGTCCATTGCCTCCGGGGTCACCCAGACGTACTTCACGCTGCTGGTCAAGTCTGCCGAGCACGCGCAGACGTACTCCGCGGCGACTTGCCAGACGGCACTGAGGGCGCCGTCTCACTGACCCTGTCCTTTGCTATACACTGTCCAGCTCCTGCGTCGCGCGGCGTATCACCGCCTCCATATCCTACTGGACTTCGCAAGAAGACTTTAAGTTTCCTGAGGCATTCGAAGGAAGCAAAAGCACTGGCGGCCAATCCGAACGATCCTCCGAGCTCGTATGGTGTTCTCCCTTGAGGCCGGCCCAACACATAGGAGCTGTGGCCTCTCTCCTCTCGGACGACCAATGGGCGGAATTGATGGACCGGGACGCATGGCTCTCCGGCGGCGAGGACTGGCCCAATGCCTACCGCCACTCTCCCATTAGTATGGAGGAGAGTCGAGGATGCAGTTTGCTAAGCAGTGTTTCCAGAGTACTTCGTCTGTGCGTGTTCCTCGTTGATAAAAGGTTCCTCTGTAGCCTGGGTACTGCAGCACGGTGGTAAAATGTGGCCAATCCTGAGCCCGGGTAATACATTTGCTATCATTTGTTCTGCTATCATTTGTTCTATAATGTTGTTAGTGCCGATGTTTTTTTGCTGCCTCTTTTCCTTCTTGTTGTATTTTGCCTACTCTGTCCTGGTAGGAGCTATAGAGTACCACTTTTGAGCTGGGGCTCCCAGAAGCCACTCCCCGTCGTGCATTTGATTGTCTAAAATTGCGATCCGTT